TGCATTGAAGAACCTCTTTGTCCAATTGTGATTTCCTTCATTATTATTACCTTTCAACTTTCGCTTTCTCTCACTCGCTTCGACAACCAAAAACTCTTTCCAATTCAAAGATTTCGCTTTCATTTTTTCTTCTTCTTGCAGTTTTTCTCATGCACCCACTTTGAGCAAAATATTTCTCTCAAATTTCCCACCTGCCACCTGCATTTTTCCTTTTGCTGCCAGCAAAAATCTGGGATTGTACGTAAACTAGAGGAGATTTTGTACTGAAAAAGTGAGAAATTTAGTTCATAATGGTTGGGAATCAAGAAAAATTGAGGGCTTTTAGGCCTTCACTTACAGTTGTATGGAGCTTTCTGTTGGCTTCAACATTTGTTTCTGCTGAAAGAAGAAGCTCAAAGCAGAAATTTTTAACACATAATGCAAATGGGTTTTCACATTCTGATTCTTATTCAGATGTTTTAACAAATTATCTGAATTATATATGGCAAGCCAACAAATCTGGGTACCAGCACGTTTGGCCGGTGTGTTAAATCATTGATTCAGTTACTTTTTAATTTTCAAATTCAATTTGTTTTATGCTTTAATGTATTTGAATTGAGTTCGATCTAATTTTTTTGCATGATATGTTTGTTTGTTGAGTACTTTTTGGAGGTTGGGATATAAAATTTTGATTCAGTTTTTTCAGATTTGATCTTGTGAATCCATAGGATTTTGTTCTTAGATTTCTTGGTAGTTTGTTGAATCCCGGAGGGCTATGAGTTGGTTGGATCAAAGTATTAACAAGTGTTGTCGATACATAAGCATACATGTTTGTTCTTGTATGCCGGTATGTGAACTTCTTAATGGAGATATGCATATGACCTCAAAGAAAAGTAATATTTTTTACAAAACAGAAAAGAATAACTTCTAGAAAACCTCAAAGAAATGGCTGATTTCATACCTCTGAGTGTTTTTGTGTGTGTGTGAAAAAAGATAGTTCATGTAGTGAGCCTCGAATACGATAAGTGACAGAACTTCCTTAAGCCAGGGAGAATCATAGATTTATGTGTTTCTTTCTTTCTTTTTTTTATTGGGTTGGTGTACATCCATTGATTTGTGTTGTTACAATTTGAGAAAGGTTGTAATGAGTTGAGGTTTTACACATTTGATATTGGTTTTTCATGTTTTGGATTGGACGTCCTACTGTTATGGAAAGCTTGTAGTGTGTG